TGGGGGCCCCCGGGAGACGGGGGGCACCCCTGGGGGGCGTGGGGCACACCTGGGCACTCCTGGGGGCGTGACAAGGGCTTGGGGACACTGCTAGAGGGGTTTGGGGACACACCTGGGCACACCTGGGGGGCGTGCGGCACACCTGGGATACACCTGGACAATGTGGGACCCACCTGGGCCCTCCTGGGGGCGTGACAAGGGCTTGGGGACACTGCTAGAGGGGTTTGGGGACACACCTGGGCACACCTGGGGGGCGTGCGGCACACCTGGGATACACCTGGACAATGTGGGACACACCTGGGCACTCCTGGGGGCGTGACAAGGGCTTGGGGACACTGCTAGAGGGGTTTGGGGACACACCTGGGCACACCTGGACACACCTGGACAATGTGGGACACACCTGGGGGCACCTGGACAATGTGGGACACACCTGGGGGCACCTGGACAATGTGGGACACACCTGGGGGCGTGGGGCACACCTGGGCACTCCTGGGGGCGTGACAAGGGCTTGGGGACACTGCTAGAGGGGTTTGGGGACACACCTGGGCACACCTGGGCACACCTCGGGGCGTGGGGTACACCTGGGATACACCTGGACAATGTGGGACACACCTGGGATAGACCTGGGGGGGTTGGGAACACACCTGGGCACACCTGGGCACAGGTGGGCGTGGCCGCAGCCCCTCGGACGTGTCCATCCAGGTGACCCAGAACTACCCGCCCGCCATCAAGTACCCCCAGAGACCCCCCCCGCACCCCCACCTGTCCACCTCGCCCTGCTAGGGGCACCTGGGCACACCTGGGGGGCGTGGGGCACCCCTGGGCGCTCCTGGGGGCGTGACAAGGCCTTGGGGACACTGCTAGAGGGGTTTGGGGACGCACCTGGGCACACCTGGGCACACCTGGGCACACCTGGGCACACCTGGGCACACCTGGGCACACCTGGGCACACCTGGGCACACCTGGGCACACCTGGGCACACCTGGGCACACCTGGGCACACCTGGGCACACCTGGGCACACCTGGGCACACCTGGGCACACCTGGGCACACCTGGGCACACCTGGGCACACCTGGGCACACCTGGGCACACCTGGGCACACCTGGGCACACCTGGGCACACCTGGGCACACCTGGGCACTCCTGGGGGCGTGACAAGGGCTTGGGGACACACCTGGGCACACCTGGGCAATGGGGGGCACACCTTGGATACACCTGAGATACACCTGGACAATGTGGGACACACCTGGGATAGACCTGGGGGGGTTGGGAACACACCTGGGCACACCTGGGCACAGGTGGGCGTGGCCGCAGCCCCTCGGACGTGTCCATCCAGATGACCCAGAACTACCCGCCCGCCATCAAGTACCCCCAGAGACCCCCCCCGCACCCCCACCTGTCCACCTCGCCCTGCTAGGGGCACCTGGGCACACCTGGGGGGCGTGGGGCACACCTGGGCACTCCTGGGGGCGTGACAAGGGCTTGGGGACACTGCTAGAGGGGTTTGGGGGCACACCTGGGCACACCTGGGCAATGTGGGACACACCTGGGGGCGTGACAAGGGCACGGGACACACCTGGAGGGATTTGGGGACACACCTGGGCACACCTGTGCTCACCTGGGCACAGCTGGGGGACATGGGACACACCTGGGACACACCTGGGACAGGTGGGACACTGACACCGGGACACGAGGAGTGCCCCAGACATGCCTGGGACACACCTGGGCACACCTGAGGGGGACATGGGATACACCTGGGCACACCTTGGGGACACCTGGCGGGATTGGGGACACACCTGGGCACACCTGGGACACACCTGGGGGACATGGGATACACCTGGTCACACCTGGGCACACTGGGGCCATGGTGACACACCTGGGCTCACCTGGGCACACCTGGACACACCTGGAGGTCCTGGTGACACACCTGGGCACACCTGGCAGGATTGGGGACACACCTGGGCACACCTGGGGGACATGGGACACACCTGGGCACACCTGGGGCCATTTGGGCACAGCTGGGACACACCTGGACACACCTGGGCACACCTGGGGCCATTCGGGGACATCGGGGCCCCACCCCTGACCTGATGACGTCATCGGCCGCCATCCCAGTGATTTTCTGGCTGCCATCTTGGCCAGGCAGCAGCAGCCAATCAGAGGCCAGGATGGGCTCAGCGGCCATCTTGGGTCAGCTGCAGCAGCCAATCAGGGACGAGGATGGGCTTGGCGGCCATCTTGGCTAGGCGGCCATTTTGTTCTGTCGGCAACAGCCAATGAGGGACCAGGAATGGCTCGGGAGCCATTTTGGATCGGCCGCAGCAGCCAATGAGAGATAAGGATCGCCCTGGCGGCCATTTTGGCTGGGCAGAATCAGCCAATGAGAGACAAGGATCGGCTCGGCGGCCATTTTGACTCGGCGGCCATTTTGTCCTGCTAGCAACAGCCAATGGGAGACAAGGATCACTCTGACGGCCATTTTATTCATTTAGCATCAACCAATGAGAGACAAGGATCATTTCAGCGGCCATTTTGTTCATTTGGCATCAGCCAATGACGGAAAAGGATTGTCTTGGCAGCCATCTTGTCCATCTGGAATCAGCCAATGAGAGACAAGGATTACCTCGGCGGCCATTTTGCTCATTTGGAATCAGCCAATGAGAGACAAGGATTACCTTGGCGGCCATTTTGCTCATTTGGAATCAGCCAATGAGAGACAAGGATTACCTCGGCGGCCATTTTGCTCATTTGGAATCAGCCAATGAGAGACAAGGATTACCTTGGCGGCCATTTTGCTCATTTGGAATCAGCCAATGAGAGACAAGGATCACCTCGGCGGCCATCTTGTCCCCCCGAGCACCCCCAGACCCCCTCGGGGGAGGGTCATGTGACCCCCCCCCGGTCTTTTTTGGCTCCGCCCAAATTTCCCAGGGTGTCCTCGTGACCTCTGACCCCGCCCTGCACCCCCGGGGGGGGGGCTGGGGGGGGTCCTGGGTCCTTTTTTTGGAGCCAATGACGGAAAAGGATTGTCTTGGCAGCCATCTTGTCCATCTGGAATCAGCCAATGAGAGACAAGGATTACCTCGGCGGCCATTTTGCTCATTTGGAATCAGCCAATGAGAGACAAGGATTACCTTGGCGGCCATTTTGCTCATTTGGAATCAGCCAATGAGAGACAAGGATCACCTCGGCGGCCATCTTGTCCCCCCGAGCACCCCCAGACCCCCTCGGGGGAGGGTCATGTGACCCCCCCCCGGTCTTTTTTGGCTCCGCCCAAATTTCCCAGGGTGTCCTCGTGACCTCTGACCCCGCCCTGCACCCCCGGGGGGGGAAAAAAGGGGGGGGAAGGGAGGGGGGAGGGGCGGAGGCCCCTCCCCCACCCGGCGCTGTACGATATGTAAATAAGGGATCACGTGACCTCAATAAAGGATTTCAAACTGTTCTGGGCGAGGTGAGACCCCAAAATCCGACTGGGAACCCCAAAATCCAACTGGGAACCAAAAAATCCAACTGGGGGCCCCAAAATCCAACTGGGGGCCCCAAAATCGAACTGGGAACCCCAAAATCCAACTGGGAACCCCAAAAGTGAACTGGGAACCCCAAAAATGAACTGGGAACCCCAAAAATGAAACTGGGAACCAAAAAATCCAACTGGGAACCCCAAAAATGATAACTGGGAATCCCAAAATCCAACTGGGAACCCCCAAATCCAACGGGGAACCCCAAAAATTAACTGGGAACCCAAAAATTGAACTGGGAGAGCAAAAATCCAACTGGGAACCCCAAAATCCAACTGGGAACCCCAAAATCCAACTGGGGGCCCCAAAATCGAACTGGGAACCCCAAAATCCGACTGGGAACCCCAAAATCCAACTGGGAACCAAAAAAATCCAAATGGGAACCCCAAAAATTAACTGGGAACCCAAAAATTGAACTGGGAGAGCAAAAATCCAACTGGGAACCAAAAAAATTCAATTGGGAACCCCAAAAAATCAAACTGGGAACCCCAAAAATGAACTGGGAATCCCAAAATCGAGCGAGGAACCCCAAAATCCAACTTGGAACCCCAAAATCCAACTGGGAACCCCAAAATCCAAATGGGAACCCCAAAAAATCAAACTGGGTCCCAAAAATCCAACTGGGAACCCCAAAATCCAACTGGGAACCCCAAAA